CCCCCCCCCCCCCCCCCCCCCCCCCCCCCCTCCCCCCCCCCCCCCCCCCCTCCAGGTTTGGGCTAGAATCCCATCCACCTGGTTGCATTTTATCCTCTTGGGAAGCTGCTGTGCTGACTTCCTCCTTCCTTCCCCTGTATTCCCTTCCCCAAACAAATGCAGCAGTCCCCTTTGCGGGCAGTAGGTATTGGCATTGGGCTGACCGCTGTTCTGAGGAATTTCCTGATTGTTTGTTTCGGCTTTTTTCCTTCTCAGATCAACAACAAAGCCTGCGGCAAGATCCCTGTGCCCCAGCAGGTCGCACAAGACCAGGACAAAGTACACGAACTTGTTCTCCAGAGTGAGCTGGGCATCAGGCTCTTGCAGGGGCGCAGCATCAAGAAAGCCTTCCTATCCCCCAGAACCGCCCTCATCAACTTCCTGGTGCAAGAGTGACCACGGGGAGGGCTCTGAGGAACCTCTTCCAGGCCTGGTATGAGGGGAAGAAGTCTGCTGGCCCAGAGGAAGGGAAAACACAGTGTCTTGAATATTTACCTTGGACTGCAGGCAACAGTGTGCCTCAGTGGTGTGGCCTGGTGTGGGGTAAGGGTGGGAGTGAGTAAAGGAGAAATATGTGCCACTGGAGGGTTGTACAGCCTGTCCCCCAGCCCCCACACCCATTGCAGGCTGGAGGAAGCCACCTGACCCTATGTGAAGCCATCAGGGACACTGCTGGGTGGGAGCAGGAAGGAGAAAAGAGAAGCAAGTGAGAAGGACAGTGCCTTCTGAGCAGCCCAGGAGCTCCTAGAACCCAGAAATGTCACTGCCTTCGACACTCCTTGGGAACATGAGGCTGGCTCTGGAACCACATGGGCTCAGGAGCAGTGTGGCAGGAACCGGTAATGAGCCTCTGGATCATGGTGGATGGTCTCTTGCCGTCAGACTAGATGAAGAAGCCATTTGGGTCGTGTTCACATGTCTAGTATGTGGAAATGGAGACTGGGATCTTCAGAAGTTGCTCTGAACCCAAAGGCAACTGGTGCTGGCCCCTCTTCACGTGTTCCCACTGCTTCTTGGCTCTGTCTGCAGGCCTCTTCCCCCCACCCCCTCCGCAGCTGATGCACCTGCCGGGCCTGCTCTGGGGCGAAGCAGCACATCACAACCACTCCAGCAGGATGTGAGACTGAGATTTGCTGCATAGTCAAGTGGAACCAGGCTCCAGGCTGCCGGGCCCTAATCTCAGAGCCCCACCACAGCCCCACAGGGATGTGGCCCCAGATGGCTCACGTGGGCCCCAGATGGCCATGCTGCCACTATTAATATGGCCCCCAGAGCCAGTCGTCAGGAAGAGTGAGCTCACTACAGAGGAGCGGGACTGAAGACCCTGGGCGTCACCTCCTGTGTCCAAGACACTGCCATCTTGCTGCTGCAGAGACGGCCAGGAATGGACCCATGCTGTCAGTATACTAGTCTAACCCCAGTTTCACGTGAAGTCAGCAGTGAGGTACTCTCACCAGAACTGGCCTAAGCCACGGATTAATATTTAATGAGGAAAGGTGGGTGAGAATCTAGCCATTTGGTGAAGCTAAAAATCTGTATTTGTTTTCCGATGCCGTTTTTCTGAAGTAGCCTCAGATGTGGTCCCCTGGAGTTCAGCAGTTAACATATGACTTTTTTTAATGTAATAAAATGTTTATCATCTATCTATGACTTTGGGACATATGTGTGATCTTGGAATAGCTACCATATTCCAATTCTAGGAGTTAATGAGGAACAGATCGAGGTATTCCATCAGCACCAGCAGAAGCATTGGCTGTGGGCCTAACTCCACACGGAATGTTATAATGTGAGATGCGTGTGGTCTTTCTTGCTCTGGAACTTACAGTCTGTGGTAGACAACGCTGATGCAGGCACATTAGCAATAGCAATTAAGTTACTGGTTCTCAGTCTTGGCTCAAACTTAAAACTATGCTTGGTCCCCATGCCTATAAATTCCAATTAAATTGGTCTGGGGTGTGACTTGGGTATCAGGGATCATGCAGGCACATTAGCAATAGCAATTAAGTTACTGGTTCTCAGTCTTGGCTCAAACTTAAAATTATGCTTGGTCCCCATGCCTAGAAATTCCAATTAAATTGGTCTGGGGTGTGACTTGGGTATCAGGGATTTTAAAAATTCACAGGTGATTCTAATGGGCAGCAGAGTTTGAGAACCACTGCTTTAATTGATGCATTTGAACCCTAACTTCTGTCTAGTCTTTACTTTCCCTTGTCTTCAGCTTTACTGGAATGGGCTTGGTCCAGGACCAAGACATTGAAGTGGAGTTGGGAAATGAAGAGGACAGAACTCTAGAGCAGGTATTTAAGATGTTCCCAGTAGCTGACTTGAATGTACACAATCCCATTGCATGTAGTAGCAAATGTAGATTATATATAAGCAAATACATGAAGATATTTGGTAGAAGGAAGGAGGGAGCGTTTTTTATTGTCTTTTTTTCCTAGAGTAAGCTAAGTAGTCTAAACCAGTCAACAAGATGAGGGTAGGGAGCCTTTTATTTGTACATTATCTGGCCAGAGCAATAGGCCAACGAAAAGCCCTAAGGCTACTGGACTGACCAGTTGATTGATACCATCATGACTTTGGAGAACTTTTTCTCCAAGAGGATAAAATTCGAAAACAAGAGTTCATTGGTACTTACTAAAAGATTGTAGGTATAATGGAACAATTGAACAGAAAACTGATCCCTGAGTTCCGGGGGAGTGAGGATTATCTCAGTCATTTACTGACTGCCTTGATTAGGTCAAAAACTGGATTCAGCAGTTTCACTTACATTATTTCATTTAATTCCCACAAAAATCCTAGAGGGGAAGAATTATTCTCTCATAAGGAAACCCAGGCTCTGACGTTCAATAATTTGTTCAGTTTTCATAGCTAATAAGTAGAAGAGCCAGGATCCAAACCCACATCTGGCCTCCACTTGTGCCACCCTGTCATGTCTACCAGTCCCCTTACCTAATTGCCCATCTTGCTTGATGTATGACAGTCAGGCGCGATGTTGACTGAAACCACTAGCATTTTGAGCAAAGTCTGGTGGGGGCTCCCCTCCTGGAAAGTCTTCACAATGTGTAAACCTGGGAAATCACAGCAGTAGCAGTGGTGCCCTCTGTACAGCGGCAGGTGGTGGGTAAGGAGCTGAGATTGTGGGGTTGGTTCCATAGGGCGGGATGGGGGCGAAGGTTCCCAGTGGAAGACCCAGGCTTGTGAGTGGATGCTGGGGTTATTTCTGTTGAGGAAAGGAGTGGAGAGAGTTCGTGCACAGGGAAGTGGTGCCCGGGAAGCCCCGTGACATGCTACTGTGGTAGGAGCCAACTGTCTGACAAAGAAAATGAGACTAAGCTCTAAAGACCCTAAAACAATAAATGAGCTGGGGAATGGCACGGGCACACTTCACCCAACCTAAACACACACCTGCAGGGAACTGGTGAGGGAAAATTGGCGCATCCAGTCAACGGAAGATGAGAACATGGAAATTTTCTAATGAATAAAGCAAGATACGTGTACAGTGTGATCCCAGTCATCCTTTTTTTTAAAATTCCAACCCTTACAAAGAAAAACGAGAGAAGGAAATTTGCCGACAGATCATTGGATAAGAGTCCTACAAGTTGGTTTTCTTCTGTTTTTTTTAAATTTTTTTTTTATTTTAAAATTTTTATTGTCTATGAAGTAGTTCTTTACTTTTTTCTTGGCAGCTGTTCGGTTTGGGGATCCAAACCCTAGACCTTGGTGTTATCAGCACCGTGCTCTCCCAGGTGAGCTAACCGGCCAGCCCTGGAGTATTTCAGTAATAGTGAAAACATCAAAATGTACAATTTACGAAGACCCACCCACATGAACTAAGGACCTGTTCCCCTTGAGTTTCCTCTCGCTGCCTGTGAGGTTGTGCTCCGGTTGGGAAAACATACTCCTTTCTTTGTGTGAAGTGGAATCTAAAAGAACAAAGAGCAGCCCCTGTGAGGTCCTTGTTTGCACAGTCGGCCAGTCTGGGTAGGTGTGGGAGGCTCCTTCTTGTCTCTCAGCCTTAGGATCCTGCAACTGAAGACAGAACAGAGACGGCATTGCTCTAGTGGAACTCTCCTGTCACTTGCTGCTGGAGGTGGATAAGACCAGACATGAAGGCATCATCATCCCCTTTTGCAGATGACAAAACTGGCTCAGAGAACCTGTGAATTGCTTGAGACCACATCAGTAAGTAATGAGCTATTTTGGTTCTCAGTCTGTGTTCTTTCCAGAGTACTTTACAGGAAAAGTCTGGTGCTACCACCAGGCAATATTTAGCTCAGGAGGTAAGTTTTCTTTTCTTTTTTTTGGCTGCTGGCCGTTACAGTGGGCCGAACCCGTGACCTTGGTGTTACAAGGCTGCGCTCTAACCAACTGGCCAGCAGGGGGTAAATTTTCTTAGTAGATGAGCCCCACTGCACCCTATACAGGTCAACGAAAGGCAGAGGGGTGGACAAAATGAGAAGAGTTTGCTCTCCCCTTTCTTCCTGTGGGAAGAGCCAAGTGGAAAACAGCTGTTTCATGGGCTGGGCCCCTGCCTGACACTCAGGGTGGACGGTGAAAGGCTCACATCCAAGCTGATGAGTTTGGAGAATGGAATCTGGAGTGATCAACAATGAGCAAGTGGGGACCCCCGCTCCCCCAGGGTAGGCAAGTGGGAGACAACAGTGCAGGCAGGGAGGGGAGAGCCTGGAGCAGCCAGGGAAAGGCCAGTCCTGTGGGCACAGGCCTCACATCCAAGGGTGGGGCCCGTGACTGTCCAGAAGAGTTGACCTCACTCCAGGCCGAGGCCTGCCCTCAGGAGGGAGGGGCCTCAGGGATAATGAGGCCCTGGAAGGGAGGTAGCAGCCAGGCCTGCTGGAACCCAGCGCCTCATGACACATTTCCCTTAAGGTCCAAACTTGAATTCCAGTTCTTGTTCGGCCTCTGGAAGAGCATGTCCATGCCAGACACCCCAACATCAGCAACAATAATCATATCATTTATTGAGCACATGTTATGTGCCAGGCCCTGTTCTAAGTGCTTTCGCACATAAAGGGCCTTACCCAAGACCACACACAAGCAGATGGCAGAGCCGTCACTGCAACTCTGCTCCACTGCACTGCTTCCCAGAGACCTTCATGCAAACCAGCCACTGTACCTCCTGGATTTTTCAAGACAGTCCTGATTTCCAGCTTTCTCTCCAGGTTACCCCAGAGAATCCTAGAACCTGCCAAAAACACACTTCCTGATCTGTGCCTGGAAGGTTAGCTTGCTGTGGGTGCATACCTGGTCGAGCACATCCCTAGTATTCTGAGGCACCCGATTCATCACGTGAATAAAAATGTTTTAATTATCAGCCAACGCTAAGTAATGCAGGTCTAACAAATAAACCCCAAATCTCAGTGGTCTAACTCAGC